TTTTATTGCGTGTGGTGACGTGTTGAAGGAATTTCTATAGAAGACGCTTTCAAATTCTGTTAGACGTGTGCATAATCTATCATAATCATAAGTATTTCTACTTGATACCTGATTTTCTTATATAAATTACATGAATGGGAATGAAATCATTGTATTGTATTTTTGTCTTTTTTTTTAACGTTGTCGGATTTTTTATGTAGCGCAATTTAAAAAAATGGGCCACCTTTTTGTCCTATCTTTAAATGTTGTTTTAATATGTATGTCAGTGCACAAGTTTGATACTTAATTCCGTGTGGGTAGCCAGCCTCACTTTTCAGTGACTACTAACCGAAACTAATTTTTACGGAGAGAATTTACAAGTAGCTTTAAGGTGGTATTGGCCTTTTCTTAACAATCTCAATAGTTTAAAATGTGACTTATTAGCTAATTCCTTAAACGTATAAACTTTGACCCGACGTTTTGAATGCTTTACAGAATTCATATTGACAAGAAAGACTATTGTTCTTGTGATTATCAAGAACAATATCTTTAAAACCTAGAAAGAAAACGTCTTGTGAATTGAATTACATATATAGTATAAATATAACAGTAATTGACCTTCAAACTTACATAAGTGGCAAATGTAAAGGCTATATAAATTAATATTTAATATTTAACCGTGTGATTTACCATCTGACGAAACTAGGACGTTTTATATAAATTTCTACTTTTAAAGTCATATGGTAACTTTGAGTAATTGTGGAATTGAGAAAAGAAGAAATTACGTCAAACATCAGTTTAGTTGCAAGTAATTTGTCTGATTATAACTAAAAAAACAAGCAACTACAGAAGAAACGTTATATCGTAAAAAGTTTACACGGCAATAAACTTTAATTCTATCCCCGTTAGGAAATTATTGTAATCCCGTAACTGGTAAACCACATAGTTTCTGATACGAATGACCTAGACTGCTGAAGCTATTATGCAGTTTGTATGCTCTTACCGTCTAGGCCCAGCAGGCCGCTTCCATTCCCGCGCACTATGATTCTGTACGTGTGTTTGTCCGTCCGTGACAGGAACTTATCCACTTTTCCACATTTCACACTCGCTTTATACAATACTCTATCACTGCTAACTCACGATGCTACGACGTTTCGCGTAGACCCGCTACACACAGCGGTTACGAGGGAACTGGTGCGCTACGGTACGTGCTAGCATGCTACAAGTGCTCCGTCTCGCTCTAATGCATAGGCTGCGATATGTGTATCTCTGTTTGCATCTGGTCTGTTTGTTTGATTCACTGTGATTGTTGGCTTAAGAAACCTGCCGTGCAACATTGAAAAGGCTGTAGCGTCAACGCTGTACGTTTTAATTAATTGGTATTCAATATGTAATTAAGGATTATGATTTAGTTATCTAAATAAAATATTTAAGATTATTAGATTATGATTAATAAATTTAATGTTAAAATTTTCTTTTTATTATTAAATTAAAATTTAATAATAAAAAGGTTAAATGTATGAGATTAAAAAAATATATGACAGTTGATAATAAAGCTGACGACTAGATGACTGTAGTCAACTAGTCGTAACACTAGTGTTCCTTACTGTAGATCGGTTGTTATAATATTTAGCGTAGAATGTGAACCATAACATGTGAAAAATATTTTTTTGGTTTTGTTTAACGTTTCCGACTCATTTAATTGACTTGAAACAGCTTCAGTGTAATAAAGTCGTTAGAAACTCATTATTTATAGATTTTCAATGGTGTATGTTAATGTTTTTTTATGACAGGAGTACAAAAAAATTTGAAGTTCACGTGTTTATAGAAGGTGTTAATATTCATGTGATATATCATCTAAGCGAGATGCTTGCAACAACAAGACCATGCTACTAGTAGACCAACGAGCATTCTTGGACGTGGCAAAGACGTTAGACCGAGTCGGTCCCTTTAACTTAACTTAGTTTGGATCACCAATCCCTACATATTAAGTTGGGTATACACAATCAATAGAGAGATTTTTTTAAATATGAATTTGGTTACTTTTTCAATAGAATTTTTGTAATTGTAATATATGCAATATATGACGATGCCGGTTCAAGTCCTGCCAGAGTCGAAAATTTTTTCAATTTATTTTCGATTTTTAAATTATATAGTGCCTTCATGTGCAATAACATGGAAAAAAATATTAATGTTTTAAAACATAATATGTCTTGTTAACATACCTAAGTAAGTATATATTAGCAATTTTTAATAAAAACATATAGATCGTACCTATAGATTGTAGCAACATTTCAGTGTCGGTTACATTGTCCAATTTTAAGGGCATGTAGTTGATCATACTTCTCTCCGTTTAATGAACTTAATTACGATCTTAAGCCATATAGGTTAAGTACATATGTATACATTTTTAAATTTTTAATTTTTAAAAGATATATAAGGAACCACCTTATCAGTAAAATACTGTCTATAGTTTACGCGAGTAGTACTTTAAATACCTAACATTTAAAACGCGATACATTAGTTAAACTTATTTGAAAAAAAACTTTTAACTTCGGCACGACGTTTCGTTTGAACCGTTAAAGTGTCCTTACCAGTAGTTTATCTAAATACCACACTAGACAATAAAGATTCATTTTTGAGACTGAATATGTATGTAATACATAGTTATAGGGTATAATTAATTAAATGTAAATGTAAAAAATTAAGCAGCATCCGTAACACGGGATCAAAGTACACGAAATAACGGGTCGCAGTTAAAATAGTTATTTTTGTTTTAAATAGTTTATGTCTTATACTCTCGTATAAACAATAAAAAATACGCATTTTAATATATCTATGAATATTTTAATATATATGAAATAGGACACGTAACATGATCATTTTCACACTGGGATCTCGACAACTAGTCCCCAGTCAAAGACCGACGTATAATTGTGAGTGAGGACTGACAGGGTAGGATTTGGGACAGATGATATCGAGGGAGGACCTTTTCTCAATGTGAGTGAAATCTCGTATTCCAATTTTGGGGTATGAAGCTGGCATAGCTTTTAATATAGACAGGTGATGAGTCTAGTTCCCTCCCAAAAGTATATTGCATGCACCACACTTAGTTTAAAGATAAAACCTCTTAGTGCCATACTGTCTATAGTTTTTTTTTAACTTTTTTTGGGGGGGCGAAACTTTTGGTTTTTTTTCCCCCTTTTTTCCCTTTTTTTTCTTTTTAAACCGTTAAAGAGTTATATTTAAACTCTAAGTGCGATCTCATTTAACCTATACTAATATTATAAACCTGTAGAGTTTATTCATTTATACGCACTTATCTCAGGAATAACCTGGTGCGATTTGAATAATTATTTTTGTGTTAAATAGATCGAGGAAGTTAGGATGGGTTTCTTACTCTAGAAAATGTGAAAAAAAAAATGGCAAAATTATTTATCTCTAAGAGCTTCCATACACTGCAAAAACGGTTCAAGAAACCAAAAAATATATTTAATATGTAAAATTATTCCTCTTTAAAAGAGCTAAAATGTTCCCGACAGTATATTATGTTTATTTTTTAAGATTAATCCAAAAACCATTTTTTATGATAATACAATTATATCTTAATTATTCATTATTACTAAATATATATTTTTTAATCGTGTCAACTTCTATAATTTGCAAAACAACAAAAAAGTTTGCTGGATTAGTTTGTAAACAATGTTATATGTTAAGCCATTAAAATCTAGGCTTGTAAACATAAATAACTACCTGTGTCAGCGTCTTCGTACCTAAATAGTTATTTTTGCACCCTAATTTGTTTTTGCACACTTAATCGTTCGTGTTCGACTCCATAAGCTGTTGACCCACGACATTGGTCGCATCCCGTCGTTCTTGCGAAACCTTAAAAGATAGACATAAAGTTTCGCGGACGGAGTTTTTTTAATCATTCACAGATAAATTTTTCATACATTTTTTTTAATATCTGGGTGAAATTTCACAAGGATACATAATTATTCTCTTATTATTTGCAGCCTTATAGCCTTCCTCGATAAATGATCTAACTCAAAAATAATATTTCAATTCGAACGTGAAGTTCTTGACATTAGCGCGTTCAAACAAATTCTTCAGCTTTATATATTAGTATAGAGTTAGTTAAATAATGTAACCCAAGAAATGTGTACGCCATCATTTAAAGATTATTTTCCTGCCATCTATCGGACTTTATAATATCCTTTTATATCAACCTTAATAGTGCATCTGTGTTCTGGCAGATGTCATGATCCACAAACTAATAGTGTATTACAAGAAATTATTTAAAAAAAATAAAAAAAGAATGTAACTATTTTGTTTAACGTTAGTTTTAATATCCATTTCAGGTAACTATAAATACTTTAATATGTATGTGTTTTTACTGTTAAAACTAATAAATAAGTTCAAAGAACGTTGTGATTGTGTGACGTGGTTAATATAACTGTCAAATGTCATTATACTTTACTGTCTTTTTACAAACTGACGTTTTACAGTCTAAACTCTAAACGACCAATGTTTAACAATGTTATTGTTTGTGTTTAAAAATGTATAAAAAGCGCGGTAACAATTTTATTTAAATTATTTTTATCAGAAACAAACAATAAACTTATTATTTACTCATATTTATCTTTCTGCTCTTTATGAACTTTATATATCGTGAACTCTGTGTTGTAAATAGTTTTTTTTTAAATTGCTTATGTGGACTTTACAACAAACCCACCTAACAGGAAAATAATGATTGAAATAGCTACTATTAATATTATGCGTATATGTTAGTTCAACGCTACCCAAACTAGTTTCTCTGCGGTAAACAAGATAGCCAGTTTTATGGTTTATGTGAGTCAATGTGTAAAACCAGTAGTATTATTTTCTTATCGCCTCCGTTTAAGGACGAATTATGTAGGCCTGATGTTTTGCAGTTTTGTAAATACCAAAGACTTTGACAAAAGTATGTGAAATGTTTGTACTGTTCTCAAAATTGAGTGGATCATCAGTGATGTAACAGAATGGCAGGCGTGGTTGAATGGGGCTTGTTAGTGATTTTTACATTATGCGGTGTTAATGGGGACAGTCCGCTATACTCTAATGAGCCTGCATTGCGATGTCCACCAGATGCAGATCCTAAACGGTGCATTTTTAAAGGTCATCAGACTGATGAATACCTATTTAATATAGATGGTAAGTATTTTGTATGTTTTATTAAACACTGAGGAATGTAAAAAAAATAATACTTAGTGCAGATTCAGTCCCAATACACAATAAATCACATTATTTGTTATCATAGCTACACATATTATTTTTCAGGTAATAATTTATCTGTGACATATGGAGTGGCATATTTTCAAATGCCCTGCTTGAAGGGCGTACCACTAGACAGCAATTTACTACCAAGCTTTGGGCGTGTGACAGCGGTACCCAGATTAACATTGCGGGGATGTGCCCTTCCTGAAGGACCTCTTGCAGAGGTGCTCACTGCACGAAATCTGTCCCTGCCTGCAATCTCCACACTGAATCTTTACAACATACCCCCTGATTCCAATGCCCTCACACAAGACCATTTCCATTTACTAAACCTTACTATTCTATCAGTGACAAGTGAAGCTCCTTTGTCTGTGTCTGCTGATTTCCTGCGAAACTTAACACTTTCAGACCTACGTTTAGTCAATGTCAACCTCACTAGTGACTCATTGCATCAACTTCCACAGACTCTTCGACTATTATCTATTAAACGATCTGATTTAGAAGATCTGCCTGTGATTGCATTAAAACGGTTTATTACACTCAACCGTTTAGAGGTAGAGAGTAAACGCTTACACTCTGCACCACTCCAAGTTGTTGCCTCCTTGCGCTCCGTCGAGATTCGGGCGCCTTTAGTTGAGCTCACGGTAGGAGCTGAACTGAAAAATGCATCCTTCAGCCTAGCGGCTCCAGCACCTGGTGGATCATGCTTTGTGGAACGGCTGATGCTCTTTGGTGTAGAGGAGCATATTTTGCAAGCATGGTTGCAGCGTTGCAGCAATATTCATACATTAGTGTACCGATGTGCAGCAGGTGGTAGTGTAGGTCGAGAACCACTGCAAGGATCAGGCGTTAAAACGCTACGTGAATTCCACGTACGCAATTGTCGACTTCGAGATGTAGAGCCGAGGTGGCTAGCGGCTGCAACCGGCCTATTGGTACTGGACCTGTCTTCTAATAAAATCGAAGCACTGCCTGCAGAGTTAGTTGTTACTTGCGAAGGATTACAAGAAGCGTCCCTGCGCAATAGTGGGGCAAAAAAAGCAGATGTACGCGCACTGACCACCGCTACTACGTTGCGTTCGCTCGACTTGAGTTACAATCAACTCGGAGATCTTTGTCCTACCGCTGCTGAACATAATCCCAACGCTGTGTCTCTACTCTCACGACTGGTAGAGTTGCGAAAGCTGGAACTATTGAATACTGGGGTAACACGACTTTGTGCTGATTGGAGGCGCGACTTGGCATGGCTCTCTGATCTCAATCTGCGCTATAATAACATCACTGAATTGCAGGTATACTTCAAACTTCAATTCTATATTTTAATGTAGCTGTTAGTATAGCTTGGCAAATCAGTTTATTATTAAAAATGAAGAGAAGGAAATGTTTCTCCTTTTACTTTAATGAGTGCAAGATATATTTACACTCTAATACCCCTACTGGGCTTATTATTGAAAACAGTACATTTATTTATTTATTGATTATTAGGTTACAGCTAGATAATATATACTTAAAGCATACATAGGCCAAGAAAGGATTACAAAATTAAGAATAAAATATTTATGATAAAGTACACAAAAATAACAAAAATTTAGGCTTTTTATGTAAAATTAAGACTAAATTTAAAGATAAAAAGGTCTTTATAATGTTTAATTTTAGTAAGTGATCCATTCAGGTAGAGTGCGTCAATGTTAACTGATTTAAACTGTTATTTTAAAAGTGTCAGATAGTGGGAACCATAAATAAATTATTAGATGTATATGAGTACAACACAAGTGTGGTCTTCTTACAGCGAGAAGATTTTAAATGGCGACGCGAGATTACGAGCACGATTGACCTTCGCAATAACCCGATCCATGGCTTGGTCTACGCGTCTAGAGAGTACCGGGCGTCTAGGGAATCAGGTGAAACCGCGTCCGTAACCATTGAGCTGGACTCAGAGCTGCAGTGCGACTGTGGGATGTATTGGTACGCTCGAAGTCTCCAGGACAGGGGCGGTGCTCCTGCACGTGTGTCTCTGGGACCTCTAGTATGCACAGGTGGCACAGCTCTTGAGGATATGTCGTTGGAAGAACTTGTGTGTACTGTGCCGAGCCCTCCTTGTCCAAAGGATTGCATATGCACTGCGCACGGTGGCGGTATAACTGTACGCTGTAATCAAGTTGGAATGAAGCGCCCCCCGGACTTACCTTCAGATTTATCCTCTATCACATTACTGGATCTCGCTCATAACAATATTACCGAAATGCCTACCGCTGTTATGTTGCCTACTGGCATAATGGTAAGTATAGATATTCAATTGTTTATTTGTAAATTGAGAGATATATATATAGTTTTATTTATAAGCATTTTTAAGCAAACAAAATTTAATAGCAAAGGATTAAAAGAAAGAAATAATAAAAATAAGTCACCTCTATAAGTCTCTTCTAGTTTTCGAAGAGCACATTTTTTGTTCGGGGGTTTTCCCCACCGGTCCCAGTATGTTTCTAATCAATTTGAATTTGTTCTGAAACATTTGGATTTCGTCTGAAACTTTGGATGTTAAACGGGTGGTAGGTATATCGAAATTCCGTTCAAACCACCAGCGTCCATACACAAAAACGTGAAGTTTATTCGCGTTTAGGTTTCAGTCCGTGGATTTCCATACATGCAAATCCACAATAAGTCGTCGGCGCGTCTTATTGAGCTGGGATTGTACCCCATGCTTGCTATCCTCTATAATATAAAAAAAGAAATATTATGTACTACTTATTATACTGATTTATACATATATTTTGCAGATGCTAAACTTATCATATAATGACTTGGAGCGTGTAAATTCAGAAGCGGTATCGTCCTACTTGGGAAAGCCAGGGCGTCAATTGTGGCTCGCGGGCAATCCGTTCTTGTGCACGTGTGAAAATGTGGATGGGTTGTCGGCTTTACGTGCTAACAGCGCGTCAGTGTCAGATTGGGAGGCACTCCGATGCACCGATGGAAAAGCTATAGCTGGTGTAGAAATAACGACGCTCTGTACCAGCTCGCTAACGTTTAGCGCTCCGCTCGCTACGCTATGCGTTGCAGCTGTATTGGCTCTAGTATCTGTCGCCGTATTTCTTGCCAGCCCACGAGTGAGGAAACATATCAAGGTAAGAAACTGTTATTTCATTGTAGAGATTAGAATACTAATATTATATAGTATGCTATCAATATGCTAAGACATGCATATTTGCATGGACATTGGTCATACATTTATTATTATGAAGTGTCATTTAAATGAAACACCTTTAATTCAAATCGTTCACGTTTTAAACCGTTAAATGTGTTTTATTTGAATGTGGATTCCTCGTGTAAACTACAGACAGAACTTGAATGGGTTTTATGGTATTTTACCTGATAACGGCGAATCCAAAATCAAGGACAATGCTTATACTAAGAAAGTAGTTACTTGGTTTCAAACAGTGCCCAGTAATGCCTCCGTTAATTACTGCCAAGATAATTCGTTATATGGCTTCAGATGGATAGCAATATATTATAATAAATGCGTTAGTAAGAATCTAATAAAATCGCTGGTACACTAGAATATAAAGTATGTACTCAACGACAAAAACATAATGTTTTGACCGTAGTTTGGTAACAAAACATGTTTTTGAAAATATTCTCAAAACCCAAGCATAATAATAAATACATATTGTAAACTTTACCCATTGTTATTACAACTATATCGAGCTAATTGGGCTTAAAATTATTTTCCTTGTACTTGGACATGTTATTACTAACAATGTCTTCCCAGTAATATGTACCTATTTTTTGTTTTTAACATCTCATTTTCATTATAGTGGTTGCTATGGCGACGCTGGCCGGACGGATGGGACGAAGAAGAGAAAGACGACACAAATTACGAATACGATGCCTTTGTCTCGTTCTCGCACTGCGAACGTGAGCGTGCCCAGGTAGTCGCATCTCGCCTTGAGGGTATGGGTCGCCGTCTTTGCGTACACCATCGCGATTGGCGTCCAGGCGAGCTGATCACAGCCCAGATTGTCAGCTCCGTGCATTCTTCGAGGCGGACAATAGTCCTACTCTCGGACCAGTACCTCGCGTCGCCGTGGCCGCGTGCTGAATTTCGGACGGCGTGTGCGCATGCGCAGCGTTCAACGAGCGCTCGTCTCGTTCTAGTATTACTGCCAGAGCTGAGCGCGTTGCCAGAAGCTCTCTCCTCCCATCCAGATCTAGCCGCTTTTGTTGCATCCAACACATACCTGGAGTGGGAGGACCCCTTCTTTTGGGAGAAACTCGAACGTGCTGTGCCTGTTCCTAAGGTAGAACCCATTACAAGATACTAGTTTTGATAATATTGGTCTCTAGTATTTGAAGTTCTTGGTAGCATCGCTCAATTGTATTAATGCCAGTGTATAATTTTATGAACAACTGTTACTAAAATTTTTGAGTAAGCGTGAAATATTTTCTAGTCCGATTCTAATTTTCCGTGTCATTCAAATTTAATACTTAAATCTAATTAATTTTTTTGGACCATTAAGTGACAGGTATTTGTGCTCATTTTATCAATCCCTCGTTTTAAGATAGCTTTACAGTATTACTTCTGAAACAAATAACTACTATTATCTTTCTTATTATTCTCAGTCTTTTGAATATTTATTATAACATCACTTGATCTGATCTCCTCGAATATGATTTTGCGTTTAAGTGCCATCCCTCCTTCTCCTACGAGTAGATAGGTACTTACCTACCACCTACCGTAAAACCAGCTTAGTCATGTATTATTACATTACATTACAGATGTGCCTGTATAATCTCACTCCCTTACATAACAAACGTTATCTAGTTAATGAATAAGAGTTGTGTGCAAAGTGCCTTATTATAGATATATAATATTAATAGTTGTAAGTTTTGTTGTATGTTGAATTTTTACTTTTCATAAGTGTAAAGGTATATTGTCTTCCAGTGAAATTAGTCTGAACCCAAGAACATTCCAAATGATAAAACTCTTTATATTTTTATATAATATGTGTAAGACTATAGATTTAATTTGTTTAAACAGGGCTAAGCTAGAAATCATTGTTTATTTCAACAATTGCTCTCTGAAATCCTCGAAGACTCATTTTACTAAATGACTAAGTGACTGCTATCAATATTGTATTGGTTATATTAGCAATTACTAAGCATTCTTTTAATTATTATTAAGTACGATTTTGATTTTAAGCGTAGAGCCCTGTAGCTTATAATATTTTTTTGTAGATATTATTGTTGTTATGTTTCGAGATTGGACTTGCTAGATTATGTGTACGACACAAAATATGTATACGACTGTCTAGTATTAAACATTTTGTATTTTTGTAAATTTTACAATAAAGTTTAATATTTTTATTTTACAGTTGTTACCTCATAGTCTAAAAATATATAGAAAAGATGTATTTATTTGGTACAGCTTGTCTAATTCTTCTATTTAACCATTAATGGTTTTTGTCTCAGTTGTTGATAAGGAATTTTAAATTTGGCCATTTAAATAAACATGCCTAACCTGCAAAAAGAGAAGATATGTACCATTTAGCACATGCCTCAATCTATAGGTTAGTAAATAAGAATACAAATGGATTCAAAAACTACCCTCAAACTAATACGAATTACAATACAATTTATCAGTCAGCTTATACAATATTTAGACCATACAATAGACCAGTTATATAAGAATTAAAAAAAAATATTACGTAAAAATTAATTTATTTCACAATTTTCATAAACGTATTGTATAATTTTTACAGTATACAATTATTTACAAATGTTATTACTATAACAATTAAATATATATTCTTATAAAATTTACATGATTTACGCAATACTATAAAGCTACTAGGCTAGATAGTAATTATAAATTTGAGTTTACAGAACTAGTGCATTTTTGAAAATTGTATTTGTGAATTTGTTTAAACACGAAAATAATATTACTTGACTATTACTGCGATCGGTCAACTAACATCATAGAGTAGATATAAAAAAAAATTCTACGATATCTACAATTTACTATCATTATTCCTAGAGAACATAAAAATGACACTTATTACCTAACCCTTATAAAAATATATAGGCAAAAAATATTTACAAATGGGTTTCTTACGATTAAAACATCTATATATACACTCAACTGTTTAGAGCTACTAGATTTGTATTTTAATTCTACATAGATAATATGCTTATGGGTAAATGAAATCAACTTACAAAAGTGTTTTTAACTATAGCAGTTGTAATCTATTCTATATTGGTGCATGATTATTAAAAAACTGTGTATTGAAACTACCTACATCACTGTTTAGTTCACTTGGTCTTTGCAATCTACCCACAAATATGCTTCACGCTAAAATGTTAATATACAATCTTATTATAGTAACTTATTTTATAACAAACATAATTTGAACGCAGGCAATTTTTCTACATTTTGTAATTTAATATTTAACTAGATTCAAATGGCTGTAATGTCTACTATGACAACAAAAAAAAAATACAAAAATCTGTACGACTTTTAATAATAATAAGTTTTATTTATAATAATAGTACATGCTTAATTACAATATTTTATTATATAATGATCTTCATAAAACATGATAATTTATATAAAATTGTCGGATATTTATGTAAATAAAACATAAATTAGTAGTTAAATAATGGGTAATTTAAAAATACTCCTTTAATCTTATCTGGGTAAATGTTAAGTTAATGAGATGACCCCGTGACTTGAGTTGTATTTTTGATAACGACGGAGAAACCCCGTTGATAAGAACAAAATGGTATTTGTTTAAATAAATTTGGGTTTTCCTTCACTGATACGAAATGATGGCGTATTTTTTAAAATATGTACGTACGAGTTTTGACGCGGAAAGACGTGATTTGATCGTGTTTTTATGTATTTTTTTTGTTACTTAATTGTTTGTTACTTGCTTGTTTAATTCAGTGAAAAAAAATCAAAATGAAATTCCCTTGAATAACCATAAAATAAATGTTGAGTGGTTCTAAAACACAAGCTTCTATGACGTATCAATTCAGACGGTCCGCTCGTAAATCGTTGTCTACGGAGTCCAATTCTAGCCGGCGTCTAACCCACGCTACCATTGCCTCCTGAAAACGATAATTTTGAAAAATGAAAGCATGAAATACAGATTATACTATACAAAGTAAAAAGGGGCCATTCATTTATGATATAAAACAATGTACCTGGACCCCCTCCCTCTTTTTTAATAACAAATAAGAATAGGGTCAGCCTATTCTCCCTCCTCCTGTTAAATTATGAGAATGAGATCTAGATTCATTTCTAATGACAATCTAATCGAAAAATATCTGAGTAACTATTTTCAGAAATGTTTCAGTCCAGGGGCTCAAAACCTACTTAATACAAAGAATAATAATATGAAGGATTTCCGAGCTGAGGGGTATATTGGTGTGAATCCATAGGGCGGGAAGCGGTATTTCAACAAATAAAGCCAGTCAATTCTTTTGACACATTTATATGTTTTAGTTGACGTATTGAGTCCAGGGCAACGAATACCCCCCGGACCTTTTTATTTGGATTTGAACAGAGTATTATGCCAGATCGGAGGAGAACGCGGAATTCGAGTATACGCATAACCGTGGCACGTAGAATTGGGCGCCAGTGCTTTTTATTAGGACTTGACGTATTGAGCCCAGGGCTTCGATACAACCGGACGGACTGGGGGCACATCGACCTTGACTTGGACCGCCGCACTGCGGGTGGGAGCTTGAAGAGCTGGACGGAAGCTCACCCGGATAAGCGGTACCCGCCGGTGCCCGTGCGCGGCGTTTTAAAAGCGGTCCCCCACTACCCGCCCTACACGACCGGCGCTGGCGCAACTCGCAAGCCAATCGCGGACTAAGCAGTCCCTCCAAAAATTAGCGACTCCTTTTCAAAATTAACGATTTTAAATTGATTTTTCTAACTCAAAACTTAATAAAATAAAAAGCAGTGCACAGTTTTATTTTAGTATAGTGAGGACACGCCGTCAAATATTTTAACATTGCGCATTTGTGATCTTATGTCAGGACTATCAAGACTCTTCACTTCTTCGTAAGAAAAAATAAGACATTACGACCCCCATCTCCCCCTAAATCGTTTTAAATAATAAATAAATAGTTAAGATTTTAAAATTGAAAAAAAAATTACTTTTAAAAAGTTGGGTTCTCGTTAACGACCATCCATAAGAAGGACCATCAAATTTTATTTGTATCCATAAAAAATAAACCAAATTTGATGTAATGGTAGCGTTAAATCATAAATATAATGTAAACAACACCAACCCATGTTAGTTATTATTGTTAGTAAGTTATGTAGGTAAAACAAAACAACTAATGAATGACAATGAAAATGATTATATGTTAAAAACCATCAAACCTTAGTCGTTAGGCGTTGCAATTCGTAATGACATCAGTCTGCGTGCATGGCTAAGTGCGCATTGTCCACATAGTCATCGTATTCGCGTACCATCCCATCTCCCTCCTGCCCTTCCCCCTCCTCTACCTCACCAGCGTCATATTCGGTCTCCTCCTCTTCTTCACCCCCCGTTACCTCCTCACTCCCGATAGGTGGTCTGTGTTCGCGTGCTGCCTCCTGTCACATCGATATCTATGGTGGGACTCAAATACCCAAGAAAACTAAAGCACCCACATGCAACACACGTTTTAATACTTTCCAGAGGTACCCTAATGGTGCCCTAATTCTGAACACAAAGCTAAGGTTTTTTTGCATTACTTAAAAACTTATATCTTTAGCATACAGTATGGAAAGCACTAAAACGTAAACACCTTTATAGTGTTAAAACATTAATTAGTTAGATCCCAACATTGTGTTAAATCAAACGGTTTGCTATAAATAACCACGCACCTTAGACGGTCTCCATCCACAGCCAGGAAGCGGTAACCCATCTGGTCCAAGTGGGCAAGGTGCGTCCAATCCAGGTACACCCTGTTCACCTCTATCCCCCTTGTCACCTTTACGTCCACGTTTGCCTACAGGGCCCTGTAAATTCGAAAGTTTCTATGAACATTTCAGAAATATGTACACAAATAAATTCAGTTGAAGGTGTCATTCCTGGTCAGAAACTTTAACACGATATAATCACTTGCTGTGTCATTACAGCGGCCTTATAATATACATGTAAGATTGTTTATGACAAAATATGAAAGTGTGTGAGATGTGAAGGTAGTGTTAGCGTTAGCATGCACTCAGCGTCGAAGGAAGTTGGTAAGTGTGCTTATACGAAATTTACTTACAGGTTCTCCTTTGTAACCCTTTTCACCCTTCGGACCCTATTGAAGAAATTTGGTTATTATACATTATACCCGGGTTAGTTTATGATATTAATTGTTATTTACAAACTAACCTCAGTCCCTGGTATGCCATCTGTGCCCTGAAATGTTTTCAAAGTAAGTAAGCATATTAATAGTATTAGATGTAACAGGCTTCTCGGAATTATCTGAATTTTAAGGCTTGAAAAGGTCTTTTATATATATAGAACCATCTTTGCTCATTGGTAAACAACAGGAGAGAGAACTTTAGGAATATTTCAGGATTTTAAGGTAGCTTATGGTATTGCTGTGAGTGCTACTCACAGGCAAGCCTGGATCACCCCGTTCACCTTTGCCGCCTGGCTCCCCTTGCGCCCCCTGTTAACCCACACCACAATATTTCAACAATTAGAACAAATATACAACCAATGAAGCCAAAATAAACGAAATGCCTTACCTTCATACCATCCAGACCTGGTGGACCCTGCGGAATAAATCTTTTTTATATATTGGCCTTAAAAGCCTCTGCCACGATGCCCATCTTAACTACCGATTCTTACTTCGACGCTGCAGGTAGTTAGAGAAATTTCATACTTTAATTCGATTGGCTTTATTAGTGTTTTTAAGATTTATAAGTGTTATCGATCAAGATTTCATTTTATCGAATTAAAGAATGATATCAAGTAAGAACGAAGAGTTGGTAGGATCCCATGCGAAGACCAAGACTCAGCGTAGACTGTGTAAATGTGGGTGCCATCCCTGTCATGCGAAAGATTCAAACAATAGTTGACAAACGGAGAGATGAAAAGACAAATATGCATGGCATGCAAATATTTATTTTCCTTGAAAATAATTTGTGAATAACAATATTTTATTTGCTCTTGTGGTTATGATACAAATGACAACTTTCAATCTCATACAAAAACTAAATTCTTAATGTTATTAGGTACACTTACACTAGACGAGGGAACGGAGGCTGCCTCGTGACACCCGTTGCTCACCCTTGGTTTTTCGTTGACATCAAAACCAACGACACAATGAGAGCCACGGGCGTAAAGAAGCAACAAAGACAACAATACTTAACCTAGTCATTACATTTTGTACATTTCATTCGTTAAGAGCTTATGCAATATTTTACAATTACAAGATAAAGACGAAACGATTATAACACCGAGATAGAGAAAGAGAGAGGAGACGAGCAGACACGCACGATACAACTTTAAGAGTGCGGACGGAGCGCGCGGGACACCTTACACTATATACACGTAGCTGGGCAGGTTGAGAAGACCATAGACCCGCAGAGTGAGCCAACGACCATATAGTCTGTATTCCATAAAACCCGAATAATCCGGAAAAATTTACGCATTTGGTTGTATATTAATTATGCATTTTTTATGTTAGTACTTGATTTTTTAAATTAAATTTGGAATACAGATTACTAGTAGCTTGCTCACTGAACAGCTAGATTCTTATTAAATATAACGATAGAGGATGAAACTTATTTATAAAAGATGCATTAAATACTAATGATAGCCTTAGGATTACTTAACTAAGCAAGTAATACGAATAAATAAAGTATATTATAGCTAGAAAGTGATATTTAGTTTAGTTAATAGGATATTTAAGTTAAGATAAGACATTACGCTAAGAACATCGCGACACTCATATTATTGTTATAATAAAATACTTTTTTAAGGTTTTGCTATTGGCACAGGAGAAAGATTTTAAACAAAACAAATCCTTATATAATATTATTATTTAAAAAACAATTAAAACAAACAGGATATTTCGGTTGAATTGTAAATTAAAAATTTAATACATCAATGGAGAAACTTAAATAAATTTGAGAAATGTGTGTACAATATTTAGATCACAAGAACTAATAAGTTAACACTAATCTCGACTCGCGCATTTACAAACACTCCAGTGGAGAAGCTGTATTCTAAGGTTTAATGTTCCATGTAAAAAATTATTGTATATTTCATATGATTTTATACAAAGTTAATATGTAACACTTATGTTAGGAGACAGTAACATCTTACGGCGGTTAGGTACAAATATATTACAATTTACAGCGACGCGTCTGGCGCAGTATTTTGGGCAGCACGATGTTGCTCGGCGTCACTACGTGAATGCGAAATGCTGCCAACCGCTCTCCTGTGCAGCACACACACCACATCGGTTAGTTCACACACCACACCCAAAACCATACACCATGACCATTCTGCGTATACTTGAAATTATTCGGATGCTTAGCCAAGAATATAGTATACTTCATTATTAGTTAAGATAAGCTATATCTCAATAATATCTAAATAAAAAACGCAAAAGGGTGTATGGTTTATAGCATGCTTGCAGGTCTACTAATATGTTAGGGGTCTAAGTTAATAGTTGTTATAATTAGTACTTAGCAATCTACGTATTAAGAATGTGTTTGTGTATGTTCTGTGGGTGGTAAGGAAATTGTTGTGTGAAGGTTACTTACTCTTGGCCCCGGATCGCCGTGTCTTCCTGGTTCCCCTGGCTCACCTGGCTCTCCTGGTAGACCAACGGGGCCCTGGAATTATTACACAAATGTAATAATTACATAAATTATAATAAGTACATTGTATGTCTATAGTGAGATTTTGAGTGCGAATTAAATATTTCCAATACATATAAGTTTCATTTAATTAAGAATTGATTTAAGACACTAACCGGAAGCCCCATGGGTCCTGGATCACCTTTTTCACCGCGTTCACCCTGAAATTTATAAAATAAATGGTTAGTAAAATGAATTATTGTAGTTCTAACCCAGTTGTTATATCATCAAAGAATTTTGTTGATTAGTTTTCTTAAAATTTTAAGTAGCTTTGTATTTATTACAGAGCTTGACATAATTTACGATTTGTTAAATATATTTCCGAACACGCATTAGTACGACGCCAACTAGTAAGATCATACAGGTCTTTAGTACGTGACGTCAGCTGACAGCGAAATAAAGTGTGAAGTTAGCGCGCTTCAAGATATGTAGTGGTGGCAAACTTAAAACTAGAAACTCTCCTACAGTTCGTTGTAGGGCTTGTGTTTTAAAATATAACTATTCTAAAGAAAGCTTTTCAGTTAACTTAAAGCTTTCTGTAGATTACAGCCGCCGCGAAATAGGTAATTAGAATGATTGCAAATATGCTACGCGTTCTTGCTACGACATACTACAATTTTTCCTTTTGAATAAACAAATTAAAAAAGAAAATTCCACGCTTTGTATGACGTGTAACTAACCGATTTGCCTCTGATTCCGGGATCTCCCTTATCGCCTTTGATCCCTGGCGGACCGGCTACGCCTGGGGGCCCTGCCGGGCCTGGTGCACCTGGAGGACCCATCATCTGAAAATTCGGTTTAATTCTATTGAAATAATTAGTTTAAATAGAAAACTTTTAATTGGTTTAAAAAGCGAAATATATTAGTTGACTTGTTTTTGTATATTTTAACTACGGATCAACATCAGGGATACTTTTTAACATGCATGGTCAAGGATGGACTGAAGATGGAGGGTGTCCCTGATGTCAAAGTCAAATATGCTGCAATAGCGTACGCTATTTGCATTACGTCGTAGTTAATATTTAATGACACGGGTTGCGTTTTTGCAGAACTCACTTACAGTGTACTCATTCCATAGGTTTTTTGAGTTTTAACGGATCCCAGGTATTTGAAATATGGCGGCCGTCCTACCTAGTGAACACCAAATGTGTTTCTTGATTCCAATTGCTACGCGTACCATTTTTGGAAAATCTAATCATTGGTTATTTTATTTACGTATTTATTGCTAGTCGAAGTAAATTTAGTGATTGGTTCTTTCAGATTAGTGATGGCCTGGCGAACACGTTTATGTTGATTATCCACTAGCAAAAAAAAATATTTTTTTCGTTTAAACTCAACGTAAGCTACTCTCTTGTATCTTTAATAAGACCAGAATTTTTCAATACTTAACTTTTTCCTGCCTTTAAAGAAAGCTTAGCATTTAAATATGATGGTGTGAATATCATTTATATCAAAGAAAGTAACATAAATAGGAAAGTTCTGCAGGACTTAAATATGTACGCAGGAGCATGATTTGTCATTTATAAATAAATGCTATATTGAATTATTTTTTAAACTAAAATGACTTTTACTCACCATTTCGTGTCCGTACAGCTCATAGCCGGTTCCGTCTCCCTGCAAGTTCAACAGTGGGCATAAAGATTAACAGTTCCCAAAATTTATTTTCCAATAGTCTAAGGCTCTAATACAACCTTCTACGAGAGGGCGGTATAAGAATAAATTCTTTTATTTATCATAAAAAAAAGTGGAATTCCGTCGTCCCATAGGTGAACATTTGTGAGTCGTCGTAGGTCGTGTTTCAAAGAGGAAAGCTTCAAACTCCAGTGCTATGCCCTACTGAAACGGTTTGTTTCCAAGGGATTCGAACCCAAGATCTCTCGTGTTTAACGCAATTCCTGTAACCAATGAGTTACGGAAGTGATCTATTGACTTATAGTAATATTTATGAAAAAATATAATGATAGTTACTTGTCTTCGGCGTAGTTTTCTGTATTTCTGCAGTCGGAACAGCCAAACGGGGAGCGCACGAAATGAAAAAATTATAGTTTTAAAAATTATTATCATGAACAAAACGTATCCGTAAGTTTGTACAAACTTGTAAACATAAGAACATTCAGTATAATGTCAAATACAGTTTCTTAGACTCAAACTGACGTAACTCCATTCTAAAGACACTGAATCAAGATGATAGTAGTTACATGAAACAGCTTTATTTACTAAGAAACAAAATAAACTGTAATCTTGTAAAAAGATCTATACTATCTGTAGTTTACGCGAGTAGTGCACGTTTAAATAAAATACCTTAACGGTTTAAAAGGCGATGTATATTAGTTAAACTTATTTGGAAGTTATTTTTCCTATGGCCCGAAGTTTCTAGACTATGTTGATTAATATACATCGCGTTTTAAACCGTTAAGGTGTTTTGATAAGATCTAAAGACATATAAAGGGGTTATCATTTATACCTGTTGTTACTAAAACACTAGATTATGAATTTTCGTAAAAACGCATTCAAAGTTTAAAACAATTTCAATAAAAATGAATTCGATTAAATTATAATGATAACTTACAGAATCGCCTTTGTCCCCTTTTTCTCCCTTCAAGCCAGGATAACCTGGAGGTCCGGGTAGCCCCGGGGCACCAAGCATGCCAGGGGAACCCATGTCACCGTAGTCACCCTTTTCGCCCTTTGGCCCGATCTCACCCTGCCAAATGAAACGACGCTATGAACATAAAGCTTCAAAGAGTTTTAAGTACAGTGAAATTATTTGTATGATAAAGGAGGACAGACAACAATAGGGTTTACTAGAATACCCGAGCCATATAACATCTAAACAAGATGCGCTTCTCAGTTTTTTCATTTACGGACGGTGGTCTGTGACCCGGACGGAATATCGATATTCGTACTGATATCTGGATAGTATATTGGTTACCACCCATATACTATCCAGATTTTCAGATCAAGTCCAACGTATTTCATAAAAAGTATAAAAGTCTGTGAAGAAGAACACGCGAAGGGTTTTGGTTTTAAGGATGAGAATGCTTACCGGCTTTCCTGGTGGTCCTGCGACGCCCGGATCGCCTGGTCTTCCATCTATACCTGATGGACCCCGTAAGCCAGGAGCTCCTGCCGCACCTGTGCAGTTCATTATTAATTTCACGTTTAAGGGACGAACGTAAAAGATAAAAATCTCAGAAATGGGAAGGTTATGTATGGTAATGTTACATAACATTAACAATTTTCCATTAAAAGCAACTATATTAAGAGTGGAGTTGGAATATTTTAGAGACAATTTGTTTTTGAGGTATTAATTTGTTCTTAGCTTCTCTTAAGTATGATTATATACGTCACAATACTCTGAAATTGTTTAAGTTTACCTTAGTGTTTTTCTGTGCGACGCTGAAGCGATGTGAGCACCTCAATAAGTCTGCGTGAATTAGCAACCAGTAAGCCTTCCCCGCTACCACAAACAACCAAAAACTACCTTCTATATAGCTGAGACCAGAAACCAAGCTCTTGTGTTTATCTCTTACGCTTTGTGTACATTAAGAGCGTAATTTCAAGGCACAGGAGCATAAAATTATTATAAATGCAACAAGACATGCATGCATGCATGTGATCCAAACCATGCATCTAAATATACAGGTACAGCAAAAAGCCTAAACATAAAGGTAAGGAAAGTCGAAAAGCCAACATCCGTTGTTTATAGAATCAGATCATGGAAATGGTTACAATACTTTGTTGAAAATACGGAATGTAAGAGAATCGATAGTGAATTTCTGAATGGGCATAGTGGAGAGTGCCAGAATGGCAGATGTGTGTGTGAACTATTATAATAATACCAAATACTAATATAGTATATCCGGTTGTGTAGTATGTATTAAAATGTAATGCATTTTTTTCTCAAACAGTAAATTGAAAATGGGATTTAAAATAATTTATATTTACTGAAATAATTTCTTTAAATGATAGTCAGTATTGAAACCAATAGAACACAAGGCAATACTGCGATATCTTACTATATATCACGTTTTATACTAAACTATATTATCAAGATAATGTAAATCTGTATTAGTTACACTTTAGTTCATTTTAAAGAGTGTATTTCATTTAATGTGTGTGTGTGTCAGTGTTACCCGTTTCCCGCGTTTTCCACGTGCCCCCCTCTCGCCAGGCGGGCCCGGAACGCCAGCCGCTCCCCTCTCGCCGCGCGCACCTTCCGCCCCTTCAACACACCACAGCCCCGCCGTTACACACTACACTACATACGCACTACACACTACACACATCTATTTTTGTCTCGTATTACAAAAGCCTATTTAAATTTACAACAATTAACAACCATGAGCAAAGTATCATAAAAAAATATATAATTTGGCATCCTGTAATTTATACTAAAATTCTAATTGAAAAAGCTACCTACTTCAACAACTACTTTAACCCGTAAATGCATTAGTTTGTTAACAATAGCAAAGCCACAATACTTTCGAAAGCAAAAAAAAAATGTTAACCCGTTCGGAATTAGTTTTAGTAATCGCAGCGTCGTGTGGTTACAGTGCAAGCCACTTATGGCGTGCCGTTTGTGTCGCTGGTGATGGGTTAGGTTGGTGTGGAAGATCAACTCCATTTAAAATGATTCTCTTCATTACCCGAGTTGAAATGAAGTTGATCTTCTCACCTATCTAATCTACAATAATCTTTTACCGGGAGGTCCAGGTGGTCCGGGAGGTCCTTCGATAATGCCAGTTGGGAAAGCATCTCCTTTTAATGTCGTCGTGAAGCCACGTTCGCCTTTGTCGCCGCGATCACCCTGGAAAAGGTTAACTCCAAGGTTAGGTAACCCTAAGTAACATTTGCGTTTTAATTATTTATAACCTAAAAAATGTATACTGTCTGTAGTTTACGCGAGTAGTACACATTTAAATAAAACACTTTAACGGTTTAAAATGCGATATATTAGTTAAACTTATTTATTAGTTTAACTAATATATCGCGTTTTAAACCGTTAAAGTGTTTTATTTAAACCTAAAAAATGGTTTGAAAAGTACCAAAAGGTATTTATCGATGTTATCGATGAAAGAGCCCTGGTAGGAATATCGATTCCATCTAGTTCACTAATCAGAAAAAGCTGTGCAGTTGAAAGGAACCCCATGCTCGTCTTTATTCTTTATTATCGATGCTTTCTAAATGCGGCATAAATTATTTTAAAATATTATTGAAAAAAAAGAAAATTTTACCTTAAGTCCTGATGGTCCGGGTGGACCCACTGGTCCTATTGGTCCAGGTGGCCCAGCTGGTCCGATCGGTCCAGCAGGTCCAGGCGCACCCGACGGTCCCACCCGGCCTTCAGCACCTGTTGTTCCATCAGCGCCAGGTGGACCTGGTACGCCTGGCGGACCTGGTTCGCCTGGCTCACCCTATACGTCAAATTTAATATTAGATGTTGAGCTATACATTTTTGTGTCTGTTTTACTGATCGCAATTAAGGGGTTGGAATATATGGCGCTTGATATATATGTATTTAAATGTTTCTATGGAATTTGAGCACATAGTTTGTCACGCCTAACGTCATGTAAAGATTTATGATTTACAACATATTATCCTAATATTATAAATAGGTATACTCTTATTTTATTAACTAACTTATTTTATAACTATAATCTTATTTTATTCTGAAATTAAGGACCATAATAAAAATATCTACACCATCTGTTTGAAAAACGCGCGTTGGACGAAAAAATAAATACACGAGATATCTTACTACACCCCCCCCCCCCCCTTGTGTTATTTTCGTGATTTTTATCAAACCCCTCCCCCCCCTTTCAAGCCTCACGTGATTAATGGACAACCCCTATTGTAGCTAGTTCAAGTCCTGCTCGTGTCCTAATTTCTTTTTATTCAATTTTCAATATTAATAATTCAGGTTAGGTTTTATTAAAAGTATTGATTCCATACAACGCGTTTAACGATTCAAAACGCGAAATGTATTAGTGATAATATTTACAATTTATCTCACCGCCTGACGCAAAGCATCCGAAACGACGGGCTGTAGTTAAAGTTAATTGTTCATTAGTCGATTTGAAATAAATTATGCGTTTCCAATCGTTAAGTGTTTTATTAAAGACAGTATTTAAGAGCATTGATGTTAAGTTGTTTGTTAAAACTTTGGCGTAGAATGTTGACACAGATGACACTTAAATAAGTTTAACATGCATTAATTTATTTTATAAATATGATAAATATTGAAACAGAAATACGAAACATGCCACTTTGTGATTACAAACTAAAAAAACATGCAATCACTTAAAACTCTTTAAGTAGTAAAAGATTTCTTTGATTCTCAAGGATATGGTTGTTTGTCACTAACTCGATACAACTAACAAAAAAGGTTACAGTATGACTGTTAAATGTTAGTAAGTGACAATTTTAGTTTAGTGCTAGTGTCACTTACCTTCAGTTGTATTATAGACTGCGCTGAGATGTTGTGACCAGCTGCTTGCAGCCCCTACACACACATACACTACACTCATCCGCATGCTTCTTCCCAAACCCCTAAAAACATGTCAGCTCCACTAACAAACTACGATAACATCCACAATGATGTGTGTTATACGTACACCATACACTTCCATGATTATAAGTGTGTGTTCATTTTCTACAATGTGTTACTTAAGTGGGTTATTTGTAAAATGATTCTGATAAAGAATTTATAACACATATACTCAATATGTGTTATAAATTCAATCAAACCCCTAATACCTGTATATTAGTGGAGCTGACTTGCATACATACAATACACAGTGTATTTATACTACCGTCACTTTGTAGACAGTGACACACTCAGAAAAAAAACCTATAACATCGATGTTTTCTCCTAAAAATTGAAAAGGAAACATTGATGTTTCAAAAGTTAAAAATAATACAACATTAATCTAATCTACACCCAGTTGGGACAACGTACTAGAAGCGCAAAATAATTTGTAAGCCGAATTGCCAATCGATTGAAATAATTTTTGTTCCGCAAAGCGGTACCTTGACAGCTATGATCTCTGCCGTTGTATACGGACTCATCTTATAGTTGTCCACGGATCTCTTGACACCCTGCAATCCGCCATTTTGTTTTTGTATCGTATATATTGTAACTAAGGATTGGTGCTTTTATATAGTAGGCAGAATCAAACTTTTTTCTAAATAAGAACTTATAACGGTTTAAAACACGAAATATTATAGTTATTCTGGTTTCAGTGGTTCCGGAAGACTTCGAATGTCTATTCGATAATTTCTGTTGCTTTAAAATTATTATTGTTTTTTTAATCTGAACATTTAATATACATCTTAGAAGACTATTAAAAGATAAATGCGAATTCGATTATTAATAAAACGATCTTATTTTGTATTGCATTGGGCCAAATTGATTGTCAGTTTACCTTCACCGCTGAGAAAACGTCGAACCCTGGACTGCCATGCTCACCCTTCTGCCCCTTGTCACCCGGTCGACCCTGGAATGTTATACCAACTTTTTTATTAAGGCCCTTTTTTTAAATTCGGAAGATTGATTATTCAGTATAGTATAAAGTAAAACACTTTTATTTACGCGATATTTATAGGAAAAAATAATTAATAGAAGTATAGTTATTTTAATTTTCTATTTAAAAAAACAAATCTTGAATACAGTAACAGTACATTGGTTAAAATTTAATACAACTCACCGGATCTCCTTTTGGTCCATCTAATCCTATTGGTCCCTGGAAATAAAAAAATAATTTATTTAACTCTTTTCTTTATTATATGACGTAAACACTACATAAACACCTATAAAAATATAGATACATACTAAAAACCAAACAATCTTACTATTAGTATGTATACCACACTTATCTATGCTACAATTACGAATTATGAGATGTATACATACACTACAATTATTAGTTTTGCCACTTTGCAACTTATTTCTTTTCCCTTAGTTAATTTTATTTGTTGTCCTCTATATAAGGTAATAATAGCGTAAATACCAAATATTCTACAGAAAATTAGTTTATTAATTACTATGGCCATACTCCATGATATTAAATATGTTTACGTTAAAGATGTCACCCCAAACACCGATGGAAATGTTGCATTAGTAGATTAGAACGACACTAGCGGGCAAACTACTAGGACACTGAAACAATCTTTGCAACTACTCAATTTGACACGAGTACAAGTATTCAAAACCACAGATAAAATTTACTGAGTATACAGACAATTTTTTTTTTAAATTAAATAACAAGATATCAGAACCTTTAACAGTTAATACATTCTCTTCTTTTAATTTTATATTAATTTCAGAACTATTCACTTTTTTGGTACACTTAGAGATTTTTTTACAAAGAATAGAGTAACACTTTCGGAGCTTATACATTATAAGCAACGTAACATATTCTAAATTAATTGAATTTTTGTTTGATTTAGCGTGTTTTAAAAGAACATGACAAAATGTGGAAAAAGGGAGAAAAATTTTGATCTTTGAGGACGCCATTGCATGCGCTACGAAATAGTTTTAGATCTTAAAAAATTTGTTTAAGTCTACAACATGGTATATCTAATTAGGTACTTACAAGATACAGTACATCTATAATTTACAAAGCGAAAGAGGTTGTTTGCAAAAATAAATAATATGGATGCCTAAATAACTATTTCACGGGAAGTCGCGGGCACAGCTAATATAGTATATAAATTATAATCAGTGAGTAGTTGCAAAGAATTGAGTGACACTGAGGGGGAGAGGTTAATGGAGAGGCAGGCAGGGTCCGGCCGCGGCCGGCGCTTACCATGAAGCCGCGTTCTCCCTTCTCTCCCTTGCTCCCCTGAAACCGAACACGGTTTTACAGACACCGTCATCGGTGACCGATGACACCCAGATATTGTATATGTCATTCCAGGATCGGGCGTATTATTATCAATCATTTAAACAGATACAGAGTAATTTGAACACAGAAACATAGAGTTTAGTTTTATAGCAGGTTTAACAAAATATAAATATTCACTTCTGTATATATCTTTGCATTCTGTATACTGTAATAATGAAAAACAGTATAATTTTTATTTATTTTAAATAATCTGTAAACGCCCTGCCCTGCCTTATATGCGAATAATATTTAACGTGAAAGAATATAAGAAATAGAATTGCTTCTGTTAATTGTGCTAACCAGAAGTGAAAGAAAAAAGGAAACAAAATAAAAAATACCGGAAATCCATTTTTGCCCGGCGCTCCCATCAACCCCTGAAAATAAAATAAATAAAACCAATTTATAAAAAGGTAGATAAATAATATACGAAACAAAAAGTAATTTAAGAAAAATAATAACCAAATAAATCACACAAATACTGAAAAGAATAAAATAACATAGGATTACATTACTTAACTCATTTGTTTAAATTTAGTAAATACACAATTGTGTAATCATATTTACTTTAAATACTCCAAACCCACACTTAGCAATGCAATGTTAACTGAAGTTTCTTCTTTACATATTGTCATACTGTTAATAGGACGCTTACCGGCGGGCCTGACTCTCCGCTATCTCCTTTTTTCCCTTTCTTCCCTCTCTTGCCGGGTGGACCCGGAGGACCTGAAAATAAAAAAAAAAACATTTTAAAACTAATGTTAAAGTTACAATTTGCAAAATTACTGTTATTATTTGATGAATTTCAAAAGATTTTAATTGAATTTGTTATTATGTTCATTATACATATATATTGAATAGTTAATATCTTTTGCACCAACTATTATAAGAACGACGACAAATGTTAATTTTCAAATTAAAAAGTAACATTTACTGTACTGTACCAACCTTTGTTGTTACAGTATTTGCGAGTCGATAAATATATAACATTATTTAAATAAAACACTTTAACGGTTTAAAACGCGATACTAGTTAAACTCATTTGTTTCACTCATTCATTATTTTAACAACGGCACGACGTTTCGTATGCTTTGCAGCAGCCGTGGTCACGGGGAGAAATAATATATAAAAATCTGGACTGGGCTTAAAACTTCCAACACAGAGGTCGCTTTTTGGCTATCGTATTTTAAACATTTTAAATAAGAATAATTAGACTGAGTTTCAAATTGTGTTCTCCGGATAAGTCAATTAAACCCTTTCTTAATTTTCTGTATTCTTGTCCCTCTTCGTAAAGACGAGATTGCTTCGGTATGTCCCGTGTTCCAAATAAAATAGAATAAAAAAAATAAAAATGATTTATGTAGAGCATGCTCTCGTGAAAGTGTAGTGGAGTGGATGGAGGGTGCTCGGTGACGTCACGAGAGCCCTCGGCCCGACACGGTCGTGGTGTGATGTTACATAGGCCGTACTGTATTTAATAAACAGGTATAAGGTTTTCGGTCAAAGTAAATAGACAAGGAAAGTTCATATTTTTTAATTCGCTACGAATCAAGCGGTAAGTAGTGCGCATAGTCAGAATACGATTTTAAGATTCGAAATTTAAATTGGAAATTTTATTAGCTTCGATACATGATAAAAGTAGTATATGCGTAAGACACTTTTTTTGAGTAGTTACCGATTGTCAATTCAACGAGGTTACTATACTTTTTTTATAAAACGTAACTTTTTTTTTAATTATACAAACCTAAAAAAGACTGTTTAAAATGATTCTATGATGGTAACTATACCAAAATTAAAAATTATACAGCAGTTATTAGCTATAAAAAAATCTTAGTACATTTTGAATTACAAATACGTGTCGAATCTATGACTCAAGAAAACGCTGTCTATACAAAATTTGAGAATTTCGGCGATAATCTAGCAGTAATATTGTCTACAAAGCCATAGTGACACGTCATTACCCGTCGAATTCTTTGTTACCTATTCTACAGACAGCCGGGGCTCTATTATTTAAGCCTAATGACTCATTACGAGTAAAATTTGTCTGTAATCGCAACAGAAATATGCCGTGGCGCGCCGATTAGCCCGGCTAAAGAAACCAAAGTGAATACTGAGTCAAAATTCGTCTGAACTTGGTTTAAAATGACCTACTTTAATAGGATCATCTGTCGCAGATTCCAGTCTTGTCTATTTTTTGTCTTTGCGTCTCGCCACGTCTGTATATAAGATATGTTAACTGTTTACAATTATGTAGTTATTAGATGTAGTTCGAATGAAAATAAAGTTTCATTTATATCTTGTGTACTGATTTTAATTAAGCCTAAATTCGATGTCCGAAGAGAGTTTACAACACCGCCTGGGGTCACAAGGGACGGCAGGGGAGATCACGAAAAAGCTCCTTTAATTAAATATCGTAGATTCTTTGTGCGTATTGCTTACGAAATTCGGAGATGAGAGACCTTTATATAAAGTAATACTAGGGATCTAGAGTGTTACTATGAAATTTAAACACTTCGTTTTTTTTCTGACGCTATCACATTTTACGACAATTCTGCCAACGTCAAAGAAAGTTTTAGAAAAAGCAGGTGAAGCCGGATGAATGGTGTTGTTCGTGACGATGTTGCCGTATTATATTACAGACAAGGTGGTGGCCAAGAGACAAGTCGAAGGAAAAAACTAAAACTGACTGACTAAAAAAGGAAAAAAATGACGCTGTTTTTAAATTTTTCATTTTGTTCGATACCTAGATTTATAAAGCATAAGCATTGTAAATGGCAGATTATATGAAGAGAAACAACACGATGAGCTGATAAAATGAACAAATACAGCAAAACTATACTAATAACAGATCAAGACTCCTACGCCTCTATAAGAAAAAAAATAAGACATGACTGACCCTTCTCCCCTTATACCAAATATAGTACATAATAAATGAAAGGCCCCTATGCTAGGTACTACAAACTGTATTTTAAAAGCCCTCATCGTTCGTCGTTTGCTCTCGTCTCCATATGATTAAACCTGATTGCACACAAAGTAGAAAAATCCCAGGAATGGAAATGAAAGCTCAGCTCCAAGTTGTTAGCGTTGCTAAATATCGCTTACGCTAAACTTGTTAGCGACGTAAGACGTCTTGCGTCTACAGACGGTGTCCCTCTCCAAATTTAGATAAGCGAGTTAATCCGAGGGTGAAATATGTGTTGAGGTGTGGGGGGGAGGGGAGGGAAGAGGGAATTGCGCGCAAATCGAGTTATCGCTAAGCGTCATCGCGCCGCACTTCAGAAAGTAATCTCGTTTTTTCCCGAGCACCCTCCAAGAGACTAATGAAAATATTGTTTGGTGCGAGCGATTACAAGTGTCGTAAAATGTATATAAGTCTCGGCGGCAATCAGCGATATTTTCCTAACAAAAAGCCTCATTTAGACAAACTGGCTCGAATGAATAATAAAAACACATACATACGCAATCATATAGTCGACGGGTCGTGAGTTCGGCACCCACCGGATCCAACTGAAACATGTTGGACTTCGTTTGGAAATCTGGATATTAAATGAGTAGTAGGAATATAGAAAATTCCACTCGGGTCACGAACCACCGTCCACAGATGAAAAAGCCGCGAAGCTTTATCGCGTTTCGGTTTCAGCCTGTGGATTTCCGAATATCCAAAGCCAAAATAGGTTGATAACGCATCTTGTTTAAATGCTATAGGCTGAGGAATATCACCTACCATTAAGTGAACTCCATGCTAGTCTGTCCTCTTCTATCATAAAAAGCAATATGATCATATTATCTAAACTACATACACACACATCAACATTCATACACACACATGTTATTATTCACATGATGGCACATGGATAAATTAAAAATCGATTATAAATTGAAAAAAAAATACATCTCAGGCAGAACACAACACATATAAATGTATAATTGATGTTTAATTTATACTAGACTTTTATTTAAAAATCGAAAATAAATTGAAAAAATTGTCGCCTCGGGCAGGACTTGATTTCGGACTCGGTAGCTCAATTGGTAGAGCAACAGCCCGGAACGCTGACGATGCCGGTTCAAGTCCTGCCCGAGTCGAAATTTTTTTTTAATTTATTTTCTATTTTTAAATTATATAGTGCCTTCATGCGCAATAACATGTAAAAAATAAGAAAGTTTTCCGTTATCCTAGACTTTCAGTAACTAAATATTTTGTAATATATAATCCCTAGACGAAAATATTATGTTCTGAATGAACAAAGAAAATCAGACAGAAAATCCATTTACAAAGATAAAATAAATATACTTATAATAAATGGCAAATAAGATTTCTGTGGCTAATAGTCTACATTATGTTTAGTGTGTAGAACTTTTTAAAAACTCTGTGTATTCTCGTCATTGTTAATCATAACTGCTGTCTTTTAGAAATATACATATACTTCGATATTTTTATAAAACACTTTAACGGTTTAAAACGCGATATATTAGTTAAACTTATTTGGAAATGATTTTTAACTTCGGCCCGATGTTTCGGATGCTTTGCAGCAGCCGTGGTCACGGGGAGACAGGCTGCTAAAGTGTTTTATTTAAATGTGTACTACTCGCGTAAACTATATACAGTATTTACTTGAAATATTGTTAATATTTCTTTCAACAAGTTTCACATCTTTACGTATATTAAAAGCAATTTAATAACACAATTAACGTAAAGGCTGTTATTTTGTGTCTGTGCCATGGAAAATTATATACAATTAGGTTCAATTTACGATTTTATGTGATCCTTTTCGGCGCAAGACGAAACTCATTACGGCCTTTCAAATATGAGTGTTGTGGCATCTCTTAAACCCTCTTTTTCGCGTTGCTTATTATATGTTATTACATAAATGTATTTGCCACGTACTATGTTTGTATTTTCGACAAAATATATATTCTACTTTTCTCTATTTTACTAATATTTTTATATTTATAAATTTGTTTGTGTTTCTATATAATAATTGACTACTTTTTATTGTCACACTATTAGGAATTTATTTAATAAAGTACTAAATATTCGCAATACAATTTCAAAAACTCGTGATACATGTTGTTGCTCGGAGTTATAACAATATTTAAGACTAGCTGTGTCGACTTCGCCAACGTAGAGTTAGTTATATTGGACATCAAAATTTGTGTTTGCAAACCTACTTATACTATTTAATCTTTATGCACGTAGCCTGTCTCGGAAAGTTGTTCTTGCAAGTTAATCCTAAAAGATAGACATATAATAGTGTCACGGACTTTGTTTAGATCACAAAGAATTTTCCTCGTTTTTTTTTCATATATCCCGCTGTTTCTTCGCTCCTATTAGTCACAGCCCAATGTTTTATAGCCTTCCTCGAGAAATGCTCTAACCAACACAACAATATATTTTAAATTCGTACCCGTAGTTTCTGAGATTAGCGCGATCAACAATCAAACAACCAAACTGTTCAGCTTTGTATATTAGTATAGGTAGATTTGGCGTTCCACCGTTCGGAAAATCGTTGTTGGGGCTGGTCACGACCCTCAAGATTGAGGAATACGACTCAAGGAGGATAGGTAGATTATAGAATTTAGACACATAAAATGTACAAATATCGTCGTTGTTATAACCACAGATAAAACAAAACAATCAACAAACGTATGTATTTCAAATGTACCATGAATAGTCTACGTATAAATTATAAATGTGTTCCACTTCCACAGATTACAAAATAAAGCAG